TACACACATTATAGTGGAATTCCAATCTCTCTAGGTCTAGGTGTAATTCTCCCGATATAATTACGATTATCTAATTCATTAATTGATTAAATCAAATCAAATTATGTAAAAGTCTAGTACAAGAGTAATTTATTTCATTCATAATGTATCAAGATTTGAATATTTAATCTTAAAAGATTTAACATCTTAAGCCCATAAAACGGTCTAAGTGATTAAAGGGAGTGTTATTTTTTCTTGAGGTTCTGGATTTGAGCAGGTGCGTCTACAAGCCCTGTATATTGTCAATAGTTAAAAAATATTATGAACGTATATTTCTCTTATAAACACTTCAAATTATTAAAAATAAGAAGATTTAACGTCTTATCCCGTTAGATTAATCGATAATTAATGTCTATAAGAAAATATTTAGCATATTCATCAATCTTGAATGGATTAAGAAGAATGCATTTTCTCATCCATTTAGCATTGCATGTGATATAGGCCTGTAAACGAACCGAACGTACACGAACGGAGGTATGTTCATGTTCGTTCATTTAATAAATAGACGAACATAAACGAACACGAACATAAACGAACAAAAAAATTTTTGTTCATGTTCGTTTATTAAGGAATATAATTTGTTCATGTTCGTTCATTTAATAAATAAACGAACATAAACAAACACGAACATAAACGAATACGAACATAAATGAACACGAACATAAACGAACATAAACGTTGGAGACCCTACCTTCCATTGTTCTTTCATGAAAAATAGTCGACAATGCAAATCAACCAAATCTACAGTGATAAATAGTGTAAGAGTTGATTAGCAGTGATGAAATGTTTGAAGATATCAAATATTTCGATCGATCTTTTAAAGATATTAAATGATTCACACAACTTTAATTTAACGCTATAACATTTATCTTAGTGGTCCATGATTACATATGAACAATCATTTTCTCTTATTACACTCTTTTTCAGAAATTGCATAGAAACCTTTGTTTTGTTTTCTGGCAAATTCTATATATTTTTCTCTTTACTGATGCTCGTATACTTCCGATTGTTACCTTTATATTCCCATCTATTTCTATAAAGAAGTATGATGTTTTCTTGAGTTTTAGATGTGAAGATACCTGCAATAACTTTACATATCAACTATTAAGCCAAATAAAACAGAGAAAGAGATGAAAACAAACATGTAAAACTTCATATTGCACTATAATATAACTTGTTTTGAAGCTTTCAGCGATCGTCTCCACTCTCTAGTGAACACTAGGGTTTGGGAAAAAAAGAGGGAAATGAATATAGGTGCGAGGTGCCTCACAGGTTAACATATTGGATTTAATCTCCAAATAAAATTGGATTAATTATGGAGTTGGTCATCAGAATATCATATTAATTAATATTTTTAAGATACTTACAAATTGGTCACCAAAATTGATTTAAGAAGATTGGGTTAAACATAAATGAATGAACATAAACGAACATAATCGAACGAACATAAACGAACATAACCGAACGAACATAACTGAACGTTCACGAACGTAAATGAACGAACGAGACCTATGTTCATGTTCGTTCATTTAATTAAACGAACAAAAAATCTTGTTCATGTTCGTTCATTTAATAAATAAACGCACATAAACGAACTTCCCGCCGCACGGTTCATGAACGGTTCGCTGAACGTTCAGTTCATTTACAGGCCTAATGTGATACGTCACGTTCTTGTTTCACCCATCACATCGTGTTGTAAACATATACTAATTTACAGATTCATTAGAATTCATTTTCCATTATGTGTTACCATCTAATTTATTGAATAATACATAATATTAAACGTGAATATATTAATTTCTAAAAATAAAAATAACAATTTTATGTAGGGATAGTAAATAGGCAGAACAGGTGCGGATAAGATACTCCTTTCATCTCCATACTCACTTAATGTTTTTATATTCACCACCGCCTACTCACCACCCACAACAGATAAAATATTTATATTCACATCCGCCCACGCATATACATTCTAAAATCCAAGTCCATACCTACTATCCAACTGAATACTCACCACCTAGTTCGTACATGTATATACATGTTCATACCCATCTGACAACAACCTTAATTCTAAAGATTAATAGTTGAGATATGAGAAAAGATCGTATTCCATTCTAAAAATATTTATACTAAAACATTTTGTTAAATTATAAGTCATGTCCTATAAAATCTTAAGATTTACAGAATAATCTCTGAAATTATACCTAAATTCATAATGATCCTAAATTAATATTGTCAGTATTTAGTAGGTGGACATTGGATACGGAGTGGAGTAAAATCTCAACCCTATCACTTATCTACTATACACGGTTGATATGAATTTTTACACCATACTTATCCACTATCCACTAAACGTATACTTATCTATGTATTAATTAAATCGAGTACAATGTGAAATCTATGAAATTGTACCTAGTAGTCCGTAATTCTACGTCATATTTTCACAACACGATCTAGCCGACTAGGTTGGGACACTATAGTCACGAATTTACTTTTAGGAAATAGTCAGCATCCCATGAATGTGTACACATGCCTGGTTTTTTTTTAATACATATGAACTGCCCCTCCAATTATCAGAACTCTACCAATTTCCCCGTTCCATTACCTTCACATTTCCCCCCGGGAAGTCAGTGCGGATGAGCAGGCCCTGCACTTTTCCTTTCCTTTGTTTTTTTTTTCAGATTCAAGAGATGGAGTTTGGGACACAACAAAAGGGAAGGACATTGATGCATCAAAGAGCAGCAACGATACAAGTAAATGCGACAAAACTAATGTGTTCCAAAAAGTGCACACGACAACAGCATCAATTATATGCATTGGCCTATGTACCTCATCACTGTTCAATATCAGTGACCTGAGAGAGAATATCAGTGACCTTTCAATGGCGAGCGAAAAAAAAATGATGAAACAAATGTCAAACGGTCTGACTAACCCAAAACTCAAAAGAGAAAATATATGTATTCAGTATCTCTATAAAAACAATAATTCTATTTACTACTAAAATCGTTCCGTTTACTGAAATTACTAAATACAAAATGAAAGAAGTAAAAAAAATCATGAAGGTTCATACAACCCAAACTCAGTTGATTCAGACGTTTGGTGGTAGCTCAGGAGGGATAGACAGGGAGTGAGTTGGTGAGTTAGGTGGGAATCGTTGGTGGCTCGAGGTGTTGATAATGAAAATAGTGGATTTAGGTTGGGGTCTTACAAGGTCAAGAAAAGGCCTTACAAGGTCAAGAAGAAGAGAGAAAGAGGAAACAACTCGAACATGGTTGTTTCCTCCTTAAAATAAGCTCAGGTAGGATAGCACCAGAAGATAGGTCAACAAGCCTTTGACGTGAACAAGAATTGATCAACATCCATGGTTGTTCCTCTTATGCAAAACATCATCAAGATGATGGTTTCATGGGAGAATATATCCATCAAGATGATAACTTGTAACCTGTTGAAGATCAGATGGGAAAATGAGTGTTTCTTTTGGTGTCCTTCTGTGATCATAATAACATATAATATAACATAGCATCTAAACAAAAGCAGGAAGTGAGGGTCTTTAGTCATGAGATCCTAAATGCTGAAAATCAGTGACAAGGGATCAAAAAGAGGAAGAGATGAGCAGAGTTGTCATACCTTGAAGGAAGTTGAGGCCTAGAAGAGAGGTGGGTGGTGGAATGGATGATTGGATGGCGATGCAGGGAATATAAAACATGAGTTTACCCAGTTGATGGGCTGTCCTTGTGGATCCCAGCTTCCAACAATTTTAGGCCCCTATTAAAACATGATTTTTCTTTTTAATTCATGTTGATAGTTATTTAGATTAATTAATGTAGGGTAAATTACAAATTTTCTATCTCTCCTATTTTGATCACTTAACTTTAAAAGTTGTGAATTTTCTCACTGAACTTAGTAGATTGATTTTTCTGTTACTGAACTTTACTCTCTCTCCTATTTTGGTTACTCCCCCTCTAAATAGTTAATGGTGTTAAAAACGACGACATTTTAAGAAAACAAAATTTTTACCAAAACGACGTCGTTTTGCATTTATATACCAACCCATTTTAACACCGTTAACTATTTAGCGGCTGAGTGACAAAAAAACTCAATGTATTAGATTTAGTGAAGTAATTGAAAAGGTTTAAAATACAATGAGTGAAATAGGAGAGAGAGTAAAAGTAAATTACCAAATTTGTAATTTACCCATTAATGTAATATGTCATGTCATAATTTTGTATATAAATTCTAAATCCAATCCTAATTCTACCTAGAGGATAAGGGAAGGGATTACTCTAAGAGAAAGGAGGAGAGTGCTCTTGACGGGTCTAAAAATCATGACCTAAGAGAATACGAGAAAGCAAAGATGAGTATTTTAACCAATCAACTAAATGTATTTACTCTTTTTAGATTTTATAATTCTAATATATTGTTCCAAAAAATTAATGTTTTTTTTCAAGTGTTCCAACTACAATATGCCACAAGACAACCCTAAGCCTATTTAATAATCCATATTTGCATGTAATTATTTGTAATAATGTGTAATTACCATCTAGTAATTAGTGGCAACAACTCAATTAAAAACATTTAAATGTTTATTTTTTCAATGAAAACAATTATAATATTTATTTTATTTTCATATTTTTATATAAATCTTTTAATAAAATAATTAAAAATTACTTAAAATACAAAACATTTTCTTTCATTCATATTAAGAGTATCTGGAGTGACAAAGTGTAAGTGGTTTTTATACAAATCCACCTAGTGTAATCTTTCTTTTTGTACATTCAACAAAAGGGGGATGTGCTTAAAGATATGAAGGGATTGAACTTTCATCTCCGGTTCCGACTATTCACTCGATCATTCTCCTTTTTTCTGTAAAGCTTTTCGAGGATTCGCTTTGTCTCGCATTGTGGGAAGTTATCAAGATCATAATAATGTGGTGCTATATCAACTAACCTGTATTCGTCAAAGGGGTGTATATGTGAATTGAAGGGCTATTGAATAAAAAAGTTTGAATTCCATAAACTCCATGTATCATGAACCAAGAAACACAACTACAAGTGCGTTAACTATATAAGAAAGGAGAGACTAATCATTCACCACTAATATCTGTCACAGTACGAACAAAATTCCGGCTTCCAGTGACGTACTCATTGTAGATAACCCACTCTGGCTTGTGCTCCAAGCAACTTGATGGATGCAAGTGCACCTCCTATAAAACAAATAATGCAATACATAGTTGCATTCCATCTCTGAATTGAAGAAACTTCAAGAATGAAAGCATGATGAGGAAATAGAGAAGACAATATTTATAATGACCTGGTTGTTTTTTACTGTCAAGTACTGCCCAGTACGCTGCAGATGTGCCATGGCCTTTCTAATGTTGACATAGTAGTCACGGCTCTTGAAATCAGTGCTGCACAGTTTGAGGTTAAACCTGGCCATGATGCACACCAGCTATTGTCTAATATTATCAGCAGCCTTCAGGGCTCTATGGTAGATGAAATTCTCATAGCACGAAGATGGATCTTCATCTGCTGTTTTCACAGATTGTAACACACTCATTCAATTGCTTTCAGAAAATAAATTTGTCTAGTCTTAAAGAAAAAAGATGAATTACTTACTGTGTTGTTTGTAAGCATGATACACATTCAAAAGTGTGAGATGAACTCCATCAATGTGCCCAAACCTAGCTTTTGTTTCATCTGCAGCTTTTTGTGCCTCCCTAGGCCGTAAAAAGCAACAGGGTACTAGAGAAAGAATCGAGTCATCACAGAAGAGGCCCATGGAGGGTCAGCAGAGGGATAAAGGCAACACAACACCATTTGCTTCACAAGAGAATATTGAGAGAAACTGAAACTATCTGCATCAGAACTTGTTTAACGTCCTATGGTGCATTCCAACAGAGACATGGAACCCAAACAAGACAGTTGCTGATGACAACCTAAGACACATTACTGCTTAACTATATCGATGCATACAAAGATACACATGTAAACAGTTAAACATCTAGTGTTGTGCACTAGCCGAAGTGCAAACACTATTCAGATAGGGATGTTATCAAGCAAGAATGCACGCTAGAGCCCCATGACAACAACTTCTTAAGACCTGACTCAACACAAACACAAAGCATGCTAGAAAACAAAGAGAAGTACCTGAAAGCATGGCAGCAATTGAAAGAATCTCATTTGAACAGTTGAACTCAGAACTAACTACGAGCATCTTCGACATTTGAGGATCCAAGGGGAATTCACTCATGATCTCTCCCAATGTTGTTAAGTTCCCCTCATCATCTAATGCTCCCAAATAATTCAATATGCCCGAAACAATGTCTCTGGAGCAGGTGGGTCCAGAAAATCAAAATGCACCAGATCATCAATTCCAAGTTTCTTCAAGGTGAGAACTGTATTTGAAAGGTTTGATAGTAATATTTCAGGATAGGTCTGTGGCTGCAGGCCATTATTAAAACTCTTTTCAGTGTAGAGCCGGAAGCATTTGCCAGGTTGAGTTCTTCCAGCACATCTAGATCTTTGATGTGCCCTTGCCTTTGATATTGGAGATACCAGTAAGGACTCAGCAGGCACTCGTGGGTTATAAACCTTTTGTTTAGAAAAACCCTGGGTCAATAACATTAACAATGCCATCGATTGTCAAGAAAGATTCAGCAATGTTCCTAGACACCACAATCTTCCTTCCTGGAAGGCCATCCACCACAACAGGAGGAGGTGCATGCTCAAAAATCTTCTGCTGCATTGCTATTGAAAGAGATGAGTATAGAGGCACTACTTTAACTGGGCCTACTTGATCCCCCATATTTCTGATTTCTGTTGTTATTTTATGACAGGCATCTTCTATCTCCTCCTCTCCTGTAAGGAAAACAAGTACATCACCCGGAGGTTCACACATGTGTATCTGCACAGCAGTCCGAATCGCAGCCTCAAAGTAATCCCTTTCAGGTTTATGAGTGTAAAATATCTCCACAGGGTGAAGCCTACCAGGAAACTTCAGAAGTGCTGCATCATTAAAATAACCCTGAAACTTTTCAGCCTCTAGTGTAGTAGTCATTACAACAAGCTTAAGGTCAGGTCGATTCTTCAAAACTTCTTTCAAAAGCCCAAATAGCACATCCGTCGCCAAAGTTCTTTCATGAGCCTCATCGAGAATAATTACTTTATATCTTTCAAAAAGAGGATCAGTCATAGCTTCCCTTAAAAGCATACCATCCGTCAATATCTGCCAAACATAGAAAGAAGATAACCTCAAACTCTCTAATTCATATTCATACCTATAACAATTAACAATAACACAAAATATGAAAATGAAATCAGGAAAGATAAGCTTACTTCAAAACAGTTCTTGAACTACTTCATTCCTCGAAATGAATACTATAACCCACCTCCTCACCAATGGTTACACCCATTTCTTCAGCAACTGTGTACATGCAATCATCATTTTCCTAGGTTTATCTGGATTTTCTATATCACTTGCTTCCAATAAAAATTGTGGTATCTGCATTAAAAAAACTAGAATGTTATTGCAATATTCTTTTCTCAAACATAAATTTTAAAATATACAGATGAAGAAAGTAGTAACATGAGTGGTTTGACCGCGCCACCTATTTCGCCAACTAAGATCAGGGTTTGATTAGCCTTCAAGACTTGCAAAAACTCCTCTTTCTATTGCCAAGAGGGGGGGGGGATTAAGAAAATCTCACATATTGACCAATATCAATTTTCAAATTGCCAGTAAAAATACTCGAGGCCCATGAATTAAATAACTGCAATTGGATAAGGATACTCACAAAATCATCATGAAATCGCTCCGCCGTGCCCAACTGCTTTGTCGCAACCGACCCCGCCTTTGGATCCTCAAATCCCTCCGGCGCAAACCGTTCCCTCATGCTGCGCAAATATGTTTTCCATTCGAGATTGGCAAGACCCCCCTTACTCGTGGCATAGAAGCGGTGCCATTGGAGAGCCTCCCCGTCCAATTGTAACAAAACGGTTCGGATCTTGAATGCTTCTGGAACTGACTCGGCCTCCAAAAACTGCTCCATTTTCGCCCACCAGCCTTCGAAGTCTGTTCCATCAAACTTCGGGCACTTCAATTTGTAAGAAAGATTCGCCGAGTCAACTGAACTCGCACGGGTTCCATCATTGCGATCGAAGAGAGCCTTAAATTCAGCTTTCATCTCATCACGGAAGTCTTGCAATCGCTTATCGACGTCGCGACACAATTACTGGAGATCAGCCTGCAACTTCGACATATCTTGTTGCATCTGAGCCGTCTCTCGCTGCAGACTCGTCTGTATATCGTCCTCCATTGTCAGGATTTAGGCTTTACTAACCAATTTCGAAATTTATAGAAAGAATCAATAAAGAAGAGGAATTACGAGGAGATATCCAAACTCCAAAGAAAACAATTGGCGGGAAAACTGAGCATCTTTCACTTCATTACCTTCCCAATTTCTCAGAACCCCAACTCTTATCGCTTTTCGACCATCTGTGAAACGCACCGTATCACTGTATTTTCTAGGGTAAACTATACATTTAGTACATAAGCTATCCGTTTTCATCCGTTTTAGTATTTAAGCTTTCAATTTTTGTCTATTTTAGTACTTAAACATTTGATTTTTTCAAAACTTAACGTTAAAATTTGAACAAGGGTACTAAAATGAAAAAAAAAACTAAATGTCAGGTATGATTTTGGAAAAATTGAAAGTTTAGGCACTAAAACGGATCAAAACTGATAATTTAGATATTAAACACATAATTTACCCTATTTTCTATAATACTGAACTGACACTGTTTGACATGGTGCTCAAATTAATCTGTTACCGTTAATCGTAACCATTAACTGATGTAACCGCTACATTTTATAGGTTAATTAACTGAACTATTAAGATTAAACGGTTTTGGTTAACTGAACCGTTAAAAATATCGATTAAAGATTACGGTTACAATTAATGAATTTTTATAAATGGTTAACCATTGGTTAACCGTTAATAAATTATAATTAATTAATAATATTTTTTAGAGAATATAATTAAAAATAAAATCAAAATGAGTCCCCCTATTTTTAGTTATCATGTTTATCTTATATAGTATCATATTAAATGAAACATAGATGGAATAAATACATGATTTAAAATTATAAAGTATAAATATACACACAAAATTTTAAATTGTAAATAAATGAATATACCTCATAATATATATATTTATATAATAAAATACATTTATAAATAATTTTTTACAAATATATATATATATTTGAAAATTTGAAAATACACACAAAATTTGAAAATTTTAAGTTGTGTTATTTTAAAAAAGAAAATATAATTGGTTAACCATATGTTATCCTATAACCGAATCGTTAATAACAGTTATCTGCTACTTAATAATTAAGTTATGATTAACAAAACTTAATAACCGTTAAAATAATTAACCGATTATTTAGATTAAACGATACAATTAACAAATTGTGAACACCACTACACCCTTTACCAATAAGCAATGAACAACTCAAGGCGCTCATAATTCATATTCTTTATTAAGTTCGGCTTTCTATGATCCGAGATATCTAGGAATAACGAACCCAATGTTGTATTGGTATTAAAAATTAATGGATTCAATTCGTAAAAGATAATGTCTGAATTTCAATTTTCCCCTAAAAGAGCTAATTGTGACCCTAAACTATGATCTTCATATTAAATTGATCCTCAAACTTTTAAACATTCTAACTTTATCCTCAAATTATAACTCTCATTCTTATTCGACCTCAATCATTTGAATATTCCAATTTCATCTCAAATTATAACCCTCACTCAAAGTTTTGAATGATCCTCGAACTTTTGAATATTTAACTTTCATCTTCCAAATATCGATATGTGTTAATCTTATACCATGCTAATAAAATTGTTAATCCAAACTATATTATTACATGTTTAAAAATAAAATTTAAGTTAATTTACAATTGAAAGCAATTTCATATTCGAATGAATTTAAAGATGAAAATGAAACATTCAAAAGCTTAAAGACCAATTTTGAATAGGGGTTATAGTTTGAGAATAAAACTAGAATGTTTAAAAGTGAATTTGAAAACTTGAGGCCATTTTAGAAAAGTAATATATGATTAAATTTTGACGTGACATTATAAATTAGGATTACGATCGACTTATACAGTAAAACTCTTTTAATTTTATAACTTTTTAGTCATTTCTAATGTCAATCTCAACAATTAATTTCTCTTATTAAATGGTCCTAAAATGGTATAAACTGAAAGAATTTTACAAAGCGTAATAGAATATTACCCTATATATATATATATATTCCATTGATCTGAATATAAGAAGAGCACCCCAATCACACACTTTAATCAATAGGAGAGGAGAATTTTTGTTATTGCACAAATAATTACATGCACGAAACTAAAATTGTATCTATTGTCATAATTTTACTAATATGCACATTTACATATTATTATATTAAATTTGTTATGATTTTCACTAATACATGAAACTATATACAAATGTAGCAGCTGTTAATGTTGTTAAACCGAGCTCAAACATCCTAAATTATCATCCAATCCTAATCCCAGTGTCCTAATACTCGATTCGAGTTGTTAGTAAGTTTAATCCAACTTTTCTTCTCTATGAAAAAGAAAGATTAGTATTGAAGAAATGTGTTCTTAATTTTAGCTCAATTCTGAACACAAATAATCAAACTTGAAGTCGAGCATAGAAATCCAACTCGTTTTCTACTTGGTAAATGAAGTTGATCGAAAAGTTCGAGCAGTTCAATCTTCAAAAAGTTCAAAATAAAAGCAAAAAGGTTTAAAATAAAGAAAGAAAGAAAAAGATCCCTATATTTTTTAAAACAATTAGTGTTCTCCTCTCTTTTTTTTTCTCTCAATGTGAGATTCCTATTCAAAAAGTAAACTCAATTTAGTCATTTGATTAATGTTTTTTCTATCGTTGACCGTTACAGTGTTGACGTGACAGTTCACGGTAGCAGATTAACATGACGAAAGAAATGGTAGATTGACTAAATTGATAACTCAAATATGATTTATGGGCTGTCATGTCAGCAACGTGGACCGCCACATCAACACCGTGAACTAACACGCCAGTACTGTGACAGTCAATAATGAAAACGTCGGTCAAAGGGCGATATTGGGTTTGTTTTCTGAGTTGAAGGGTCACATTGAGGAAAAAAATAATACGAGGGCCAAATTGGTTTTTTTTCTAGAAGTACAGGACCTCTTATATTTTTTTTCTAAAATAAAAATACGATTGAACTCGAGCTATTTCTGATAAAGAGAAATCTACCTAAGGAACTTATTAATTAACAGTGATTTTGATTTCCAGATGAAATCTTGAGTATCTTTACAAAGACTACATGTATGAACCATGAAAGAAAAAGACATGTAAAAAGCTTATGAAGAACACCACGAGCAAGAGATTAATCAATTACCTCAAAAGGCTGATTGCTCTGAAGAACGCACATGAAAAGATCAAAACTTTTCAGCTTCTCATATAAAGAATGAAGCTTCATGAGGTTAATAAAACATTGGTGATATCTGGGAACTTCTCTTTAATGGCGGCTTTGATTCCCGATCCAATCGATTCGGGACCTGTGTAGTTCACAACGCATTCCCCGCCATCAACGGATAATACTTCAACGCTCCCACCGAAATTCTTGATAGCCGGTCTCAGTATATCAAGATGACGATTCACTGCCTGTTTACTCGCGAATTCCAAACAAATTTCAATTTAGATGAATAATCTTTGTTTTGTTATTTTCGACGAATCTCAAGTTTGGTATAGAAAATTCACCTCGACGGTTGTTTCCTTCACTACATCGTCGTACACTTGCCGGATTTCCTTGACTGCATCCCCGAATTTTTCTTTCAAAACCCTTTCGATCCCCATTTTCATGGTGGTTGTTGAGCTAGGGCAGCTCTCACATGCTCCTGAAACTCGATCAACTCTACATTAGCCAAAAGCACATGGATAATTAAATCATGAAACCAAGATAAAAAAGAGTGACCTAGGAGTTTGAGAGAGACGACGCCGTCTTCGACAGACAAAACGTCGACGTTTCCACCATCGGAGATCAAGTAAGGCCTCACATCCTCCAGAACCAGGTCCACGTTTTGAGCGGTGAGCTCGAACTGCTTCGACGAGTACAGCCCGGGAGACGAGCCGGTGGCCGCGCCTGGGCCCGGGCTCGACGCTTTTACGACCGTTTTCAGTCGGATTCTTCCCGGAGGGACCCGTCTGCGTTGATTTAGGGATGAAAATCTCGGGATTCGAAGAGCTTGCGGAGAAGAAAAGGTTAGGGTTTTGGTTAACCCGGTTGACGCAATTGAAGCCATTTCCGATCACGAATCGCTGCCAATTTGGGGAAGGATATCCGATATATAACGTGAAGTCGAAAACGTTGCTAGCCACGACACGAAGCAGCTGACTATTTGTGGTGCTAGAAATTTTAACCTGTTCACTATTTTTCTTGAAAATTATTCATCTATATAAAATATCACCAAATCAAACCCAAGTTAATAATTTAGCAATTAAAATAAAATAGGTTTAAAATAAAAATAATAAGAATATATATTTTTGAAAAATGATAATTAGAAAAAAATATTATAATTTATCTTTATATTAATTTACGGTGAATATAAGATAATATTTATTAAAAAATTCTCCATTATTTCATAATAAACTCTTAAATATCTTTATATAACATCTTTATATAAGTGGTGCTCAAATCCTAAATCTCATAAGGTTATTTATTCTATTTATTACTTCTTTTTAATTTCTTACTAATACAATTTTGTATATATTTGTAGTGGGAAAAAATAAAGAATTTAGAAGAGAATAAAAAAATTAAGTACATAAACTATCAATTTTGGTTTGTTTTAGTAGTTAAATTTTTTTAAAATCATACCTAATATTTAGTTTTTGTTTCATTTTAGTACTCACCGATAAAACTCAACACATTTTATAACAATACTAAAATGAAACAAAAATTAAATTTAGGTATGATATTGAAAGTTTTGACACTGAAACAGATAAAAATTGATAGTTTATATACTAAACACATTATTTACCTAAAATTTAAAAGGAATCTTAAAAAGACTTGATTGATATTTAAATTATAGTTTAAGAATTAAACTAATTATTAATTTTTTTCAATATATTAAATTAGCAAAAAATAAGTGTAAAATAATTATTTTGTTATAAATTGATTATATTAATGATTATAATATAAACTTTAAAATTTAACTGCTAAAAGAAGAAAATTATCCAAACATTGGTGATCATTAATGTAAATAATAAAAGTAAGCGATTGGCTACCCTACCACGTGCATCGGCGCCAAGTACTTGCCCGTCATGCGGATTTCGAAGATAACCCCAATCAAGCCTCTGAGAATTTCCCGTCATCTTTCGACACTTCCGACGAGGAATCTCGACGACGATAGCCTCCAAAACACCCAACTGAAACAAGACAAAAAGCTCTTCGACCAAAACCCAATACACGAAGACTTCTCATGGAACGCAAATATTAAACACTCTGCTCGGGACAGCCAGACCGAACTTGCTCATAACCCGTTCGATGAATTGACGCTAAGAATCCCCGCTCCTTGGAATACCTTTTTACGTTTAATAAGATGCCCGAGAAGAATGTGGTTTCTTGGACTTTGATGATTAACGGATACGTGCAACGCGAAGGTTTCGGGAGGCATTGAAGCTGTTTGTTTTGATGTTGAGATCTAGTACGAGGCCTAATCAATTTACGTTTTCTAATGTATTGGATGCATGTGCTGGGTGTTCTTATGTTGTTACTGGCCAGCAAGTCCACTCATGCATTCTCAAGTTTGGGATACCAAAGGATTTAGTATTGTCTGCTTCTCTTGTTGATATGTATGCAAAATGTAGGAATGCTGATGCTGCATTTAGCGTATTCGAGTCCATGCAGCGGAAGGATTTGGTGTCATGGAACTCTTTGATAGCCGGTTATGCAAGACAAGGGCTTGGAGGAAGAGCATTGCAGGAATTCTATAGAATGCTTAGCACTGGTGTCAGTCCGAACCAGGTTACATTTTTTAATGTTCTGTTAGGATCCAGGGGCAGTGAATTGGTCGAAGAAGGTGAAAGGCACTTCAACTCCATGAACCACAAGTATGGAATACAACCAGGGTTGGAGCATTATGCTTCTATGATGGAGACCTATGGGAAAGCGGGCCAGATGGGTAAAGCTGAGACCTTGATCAAGGAGATGCTTTCCAAGTTTGATGTGTTTCTTTGGGGTGCATTTCTTAGAGCCTTTCATTTGTACTCCGGTTCAGAACTTCTGGTATTTGCCACAGAAAGTATTTTGAAATTGAAAACGGATTACCCTGCAGTTTATTCAGCGTTTAGAAAGATACACGGTGGGAATGGTGCACCTGAACTTAAGCACTTGAAGTAGATGAAAGAGGATAAGAATATTGCAAAACACGATGCTTTCAGTCAGATCGAATCTTGAGTGGGGGTGAATGAATCAAAATAAGACTTCGTAGCTGCAAATCCTAATCTCGACTACCAGACAGGTACAGCCCTTTGACGCCGTGTCTGCCAACTTTTAGATGATGTCTTGCTTATAGAACTGATATAGAAACTGTGATTCGGGCGACAAATGAAGGAAATGATGGAAAATAAAGAATTCTTGGTTCCTTGGTTCTTAACATCAAGAATGTTCTCAACAATGGCTCACATAGTACGGTCGCAAGGTGGCCGTGACATCATAGTTCAAGTTTGTTTAAAAATCTATTCGTTTTAAAGTAGAGTCGACTTTGAGTGGATTCATTCTTGCAAGGACTTGTGATCATGTATTTCTTGATAAGTTTTTCGCCATAGCAAGGCAAGCACATTTTAGAATGTTTAAAAATTGGAGTTAAACCAGAGCACTTAACACGCATAAATGATTTATTCTCCGGAAGTAGTAAAACTTCTGAACGTTGTAAAAGCTCCTAGATATCTCCAAAGAGAATTATTAGAGGAACCGTTTATAAGTTCGGCCAATCTTAGACATTGCTGCCGGAGCCTGGAGTGGTTAGTTCGTTTGGTTTTACGATCATTGACAACTAAAATGAGAACTTGTTACGAGCTATCGGAATCGGATATATTAAAACGCTCGACAAATTGCTCGCAGCACAGGAGATGATTGCCAAAAAGCGTAATATCATATATGACCAGGAGATAACAGCACAATAGCTAATTTTATCTTTACGATAGAGACCAAGAACTGGTTGAGGGTTATAAAAAAAAGGTCTAAAAGCAATCGTTTCTTCATTTAGGATCATTGGAATTGTTCGACAAATGACTAAATAGCAAGTAGAATAACAAATTTGGACTAGATGGTACGATACATAAAGATAGGGAAGAAGATTCTACTGTTACGATGGAACAAGAAATTTCAGTTTCTTCCCATTTATCAAACATATGGAATAACTAGCAAATACCACCATATATGAAATTCGGACTAGATAGTATCTTCATCTCCTGTTACGACTCTCCTCTCGATCCTTCTCCTTCTTTCTATAAATCTTTTCGAGGACTCTCTTTGCCTCGCATTGCGGGAAGTTATCAAGGTCATAATAATCTGGTGCTACATCAACTAACCTGTATTCGACAAAAGAGTGTATGTGAATTAAAGGGCTATCGAACAAACTACTGAGACTATCTCAGGGCTTCTGAATTCCATATAGTCAATGTATCATGAACCAAGAAACAATTACATAACTACAAATGCGTTAACTATATAAGAAAGGAGAGACTAACCATTCACCACGTATATCTGTCACAGTACGAATAAAATTCCGACTTGTCAGGACGTACTCGTTGTAGATGACCCACTCTGGCTTGTGATCCAAGCAGTTTGATGGATGCAAGTGCACCACCTGCAAAATAAATAGCACAATACATATTGTTACCGTCTGCAAACCTAAATGGAGACAACTTCAAGAAAGAAAGCATCATCAGGAAACAGAGAAGACGAGACTTATACTGACCTGGTTGTCTTTAACTGTCAAGTAGTGTCCCGTACGCTCAAGATGTGCTACCTGCATGAAATACCCAGCAAGCATGGCCTTTCTAATGTTGACATAGTAGTCACGGCTGTTGAAATCAGTGCTGCACAGCTTGAGATTAAACCTGGCCATGATGCGCACCAGCTGTTGTCTAACATTATCCGCAGCCTTCAGTGCTCTATGGTTGACAAAATTCTCATAGCACCAAGATTGATCCTCATCTGCAGTTTTCACAGATTACAAAGCTCTTAAATCGATTGCTATCAGAAAAAAAATTTGGATAGTCTTAGGAAAAAACAATGAATTACTTACTGTTTTGTTTGTAAGCATGGTACACATTCAAAAGTGTGAGATGATCACCATCAATATGTCCAAACCGAGCTTTTGCTTCATCTGCAGCTTTTTGTGCCTCCCTAGGCCGTACAAAGCAATTGGGTACTAAAGAAAGAATTGAGTTATCACAGAAGAGGCCGATGGTAGGTCAGCAGAGGCATACAGGCAAGGCAACACCATTTGCTTCATGAGAGAATACTGAGAAACTGAAACTATCTGCATCAGCACTTGCTTAGAAATCCTATGGTGCATGCCTACAGAGACATGGAACCCAGACAAGACAATTGCTGATGACAACCTAAGACACATTACAGATTAACTGCATCAATGCATGCAAAGACATGCATGTAAACAGTTAAACATCTAGTGTTGTGCACTAGCCAAGTGCAAACACTATTCAGATAGGGACGTTATCAAACCTGATAAAGTCCCATGACAACAACTTCCTAAGACCTGACTCAACTCAAACACAAAGCATGCTACAAAACAAAGAAAGGTACCTGAAAGCATGGCAGCAATTGAAAGAATCTCATTTGAACAGTTGAACTCAGAACTAACTACGAGCATCTTTGCCATTTGTGGATCCAAGGGGAATTCACTCATGATCTCTCCCAACTTTGTTAAGTTACCCTCATCGTCCAATGCTCCCAAATAATTTAACACTTCCAATGCCCGCATCAATGTCTCTGGAGCAGGTGGATCCATAAAATCAAAATGCACCAGATCATCAATACCCAGTTTCTTCAAGGTGAGAACTGTATTTGCAAGGTTCGATCGTAATATTTCAGGATATGTCTGCGGCTGCAGATCGTTATTAAAACTCTTCTCAGTGTAGAGCCTGAAGCATTTGCCAGGTTGGGTTCTTCCAGCACGTCCAGATCTTTGGTGCGCACTTGCCTTTGATATAGGAGATACCAGTAACGACTCAACACGCACTCGTGGGTTATAAACTTTTTGTTTAGAAAACCCTGGGTCAATAACATAAACAATGCCATCAATAGTCAAGGAAGTTTCAGCAATGTTTGTAGACACCACAATCTTCCTTCCCGGAGGGCCATCCACCACAACAGGAGGAGGAGCAGGCTCAAAAATCCTCTGCTGCATTGCTGGTGGAAGGGTTGAGTATAGAGGCACTACTTTAATAGGGCCTACTTGATCCCCCATATTTCCGATTTCTTTTGTTATTTTACGACAGGCATCTTCTATTTCCTCCTCTCCTGTAAGGAAAACAAGTATATCACCAGGAGGTTCACACGTGTGTATCTGCACAACTGTCCGAATCGCAGCCTCCAAGTAATCCCTTTCAGGTTCCTGAGTGTAAAATATCTCCACAGGGTGAAGCCTACCAGGAACCTTCATAAGTGGAGCACCATAAAAATAACCCTGAAACTTTTCAGCCTCTAGTGTAGCACTCATAACAACAAGCTTAAGATCAGGTCGATTCTTCAAAACTTCTTTCAAAAGCCCAAATAGCACGTCGGTCGCCAATGTTCTTTCGTGAGCCTCATCGAGAATAATTACTTTATATCTTTCTAAAAGAGGATCAGTCATAGCTTCCCTTAAAAGCATACCATCAGTTAAATATCTACAAAACAACAGTACGAAGATAACCTCAAAACTCTATAATTCAAATTCACGTCTATATCGGTAATACCAATATAACATGAAAAATATACTTACTTCAAAACAGTTCTTGCACTACTGCAATCCTCGAATCTAATACTATAACCCACCTCCTCTCCAATAGTTACATCCATTTCTTCAGCAACACGGCGTGAAACAGACATAGCTGCCACTCTTCGTGGCTGGGTGCAGGCAACCATCATTTTCCTACGTTTATCCGGAGTTTCTAAATCAATGGCGTCCAACACAAACTGTGGTATCTGCATCATCGGAGAAAAAACTAGAATGCAACCGCCTACTTCTTTCCTCAAACAGAAACCCCTAACGATTGTCCATTGATGGTAAATCAAATTAAACTTTCTAAAATTTCCATCTGAAGGAAGTACTAACCTGAGTGGTTTTACCGCTACCGGTTTCACCGACTAAGATAAGGGTTTGGTTCACCTTTAAGACTTGCAAAAACTCCTCTTTCTGTTGCCAAACCGGCAGCGTTTTCCTCTTCTCCAAGATATCGTAATACCTTTGAGAATACGGCCTTCCATTCCACCTGTTGATCGAGCAGTTGGCGTTCAGCGCAGCTATGCCTCCTAAACCGTTCGATTTCCCGAGCTTCACCGATGGCTCGTCCACCACATCGAACAAGCTCACCTTTCTCTTCCTCTCCGTTCCCATTCAAAACCCTAGGGAATTTGATTTAGTTGGTTGAATAAGAAACTCCTCCTTTAGAAAGGGGGAATGAAAACCCTAGCAATTGGGAAATCGGGTGGGTAAAAGAGGAATGTAGGAGGCTAAGGCATTTTGGTTTCTGGGTATTTATATTTAATTATTCTACAATTTTACGAATTTACCTATTTGCTGAAAAGACCAACTGAAAGGAGTCGAGCTTTCTTGATTTACTCCTTGGTCTCTACAATTATAGTTATTTACGTTTTGGCCGTCCAGATTTAACAATGTGGTCCTCGCATTATTCTCTCTCTCAATGTGACCCTTCATCTCATAAAATAAATTCAATGTGGTCCTTTGACGAATATTTTTCACCGTTTGATTATATGGTGCTGATGTGATGGTCCACAGTACTGACTTAGCAGTCCATATGTCATGTTTGAATTACCAATTTAGCTCATATGTCACATTATCAACCACCATAGACTGTCACGTCAACACCGTGAACCGCCTCAGTATTGTGAACTGTCACGTTGGTACCATACGATCAAGGACGACTCGAAAAATATACACATTCCACCTGACCCGTCTTCTTGAGATAAAATTTAAACCTGATCCGATCCAACCAGAAATAATGTATTTATTAAAAAAATATTAATTTTATTCAATAAAAATAGGGATTTAATTGAAAATTAAAAATATATAGAGAGATATTATTACAATTATCCATAAATATATATAAGATAAAATTATAATTTTTTAGGTCGGGTTGCGTATTTTTTATTCTAGATCAGAACACAACCAAACCCAAACTCAATTTCTTTAAAAAAAATCTGATCTGATCAAATCGAGCCGGGTCAAAATCCATCGAAATCGGGTCCATACCCATCCCTACTTAGCCCATTGAAATTGAAACTGAGCCCAATTTTCCATATTCTTCATTAAAATGGCCTTTTTGAGATCCTAGTTCCCCAGGAATAAGAAACCCAATCACGTAAGAATTTCATAAAGGGTCATTAGTGGATCCATTAAAGTTTATCTATATATATATATATATATATAAATTTAAAAATATTTTTGAATCCGCTACTGATTAGATCGAAATCTCATGCACCACTTCCCTGACTTTTTGGATCGGAAAAGAGGTATATGTACTAGTTCATCCTCTTATACATAAACAAAGATAGCCTAATTTATTTAGTTTTATTTTCTAAATGAATAGAATGTACGATAAATTAATTAATATGGTTGACCTTAAATTTAAAATATGTTCTCGACCATGTGTCAATCTATTGGTACCACGTAACACTAGGGTTACAGAGTATATTACTAGTCACTCTCCACTAAGAGTGACGAGTAATATCTCGTATTTTCTCTCTATTTTTTCTCCTTCTAAGGAGAAAGCAAAGGATGTTCTGGTTCTCAATCTCCGACTTCTTCTTATTCAATAATTTCATGTCTAAATTAAAGGAGACGAGCTATCGTAAATCATCGATATAATCGTATCCACCTTGCGCAATGGCTTATCTCACTAATAGACGCGACGTCCCGTGCTTATTCTTTATGCAGCATGAAAAGTATCACCATTTTGAAAGTAGTTAAACAGTGATCAATTCTTGCGAAACAGTATATTCTTTACAATGACAAGTTAACGTGGCCAGCAAATACACAACCACAAAAGCAAGTGTGAGATAGCGATGCTTCAAATCAAAATCCATAAATCTCCATGATATCAGAATAAAGGAATAACGCCCCCATACTGTAATGTTTTCATTTCCCTCTTACACACCATTCTATTCAATGAACCAGATCTGTGAGATAAATGCAGCAACAGTAGAGCAGTTCATGTTCACTGGGGAAAATTTTGTCGATTTTCCGAGAAAAGTTTGAGTTTGATGTTGGGAACGCATTCATTTTCTTTCTCACCAAATTTGTACATTTGCAGACCTCATCTGTCCCTCATTAATGAGGAACCCTACCCCTCAAAATCTCTTTTGCAGTACTTTCAATGGGAATCAATGCACATTCTTTTACCAACAAAAACAAAGACATAGGACAAACGATGGGTCAGATGAATTAAATAGGAAAGACCCGAGTTTTCTTGGGATCAAAATGAGAAGGAAAGTCACTAATTACTTATTACAGCGAACCGGTGCTCTAAATCTAGTCTTCGTTCAGAATATGGGATGGTATAATGTCTTGAAGAAGGCCATGGACCTTGAGCAAACCAGCGTTAATACAGGAACCATTATGGCCTAAAGGAAACAACGTATTGCCAAATGGAAGTTGCTGCTGCTGGTGCTGGTGATAGAAGTGAGGTTGAGCCCTTTGCATTGGCATACCGGAAGCTGCTCCGGCGGCGGCTTCGATGGCGATGTCTGAGTTGAGATGGCCGGAACCGTTGAGTTTCGGACGAAGCATGAGGGGGCTGGGGTGAGTGTGTTGCCCTTCGTAGGTGGTTACCACGATGCTTGGATCAGTGGAAGATCTCTCCACCCTCTTTTTCACATTACATAAGGTGCCAGTGCAACGATAATAACTCCTGGGGGGAAATTAAACAGTGAACCCAAATTGGTAAGAAAATTATGACAGTACTGCACACAGAACGAGGGGACAAATTAAAGTGTGAAACATTGAAGTTAGTACCTAGGAAAAGGGCTGTTTTTTAAAGCTTTTTGGCCGTACTTTCTCCATCTGTATCCATCTTCTAGATGATCAACCTCGCTCTTTGTCATGAACGCGAATCTCGGCTCTCTCTGTCTCTTCTGGTTTTTGTTCTTGGGTTTCAACCTACGCCCCAAAAAAATATTCCAACCAAATCTTTCAGCTTAAATTTCACAACAATGGGGTTTCTGTTTAACAGTAAACCAAAACACAGACTACAAACAGAAATACAGAAAATAAAAGAAGGGTAAAGTTACTCACTGTTTCTTTGTTGTTTGCTGGTCTTCTTCTTGGTCGTCAACTTTAACAGGTTCATCGTTGACGGCTTCACTCGACGCCGATGAAATCGACGAAGAGTTAGGCGTCGCAGGCGGATTAAAAGCGTCCGGTGACTCGATCTTCATCGGAGGGTCGGTTACGAGAGATGGAAACTGCTGAGCGATATCGAATAAAGGAGGACTGGTAAAGTCTTGAGCGCCCAGTAACTCCATGAACCCTAATGGCAACTTGTCTCCTTCGCTATTCGAATCGAACATGATTTGTAGTGGGAAATTATTCGCTAAAAACGACGAGTTCCCCAATACATCTTCCATTTTTGAACCCTTTTTTCTCTCCTTGAATATATATATATATATATGTGTGTGTGTGTGTGTCTTCAATCAACAGGACCAATTTCACTTCACCAAACAACTAAGAGAAGCTTTGTTCAGTGAGAAAGAAAGAAAGGGAAGTGTAGGGTTTGATCTGATTTATAAGGTAGGTGAAAGAGGGAGGGGAGAGTTTTAGGGTTAGAAGAAAGTGAGATGCTTGGGTAAAGAGAAAAAGAAAAGTTAAAGAGCCGGGAAAATGACAATAATACAAATAGTTAGATATTATTTTTATAAGCAATAAAGAGAAGGAAGAAGAAGATTATGAGATTCTTCTGTTCTTTTTAGCTTTAGCTTATCGGGACCGGTGTGGGAATAACATAATGCACGTGTGGTGGTCAAGATGGACAGAGTATTTTTGGGATTAGGGATGGGAATGAGACCTGATTTATTGAGTCTGTTTTTTTTTTTAAATCCGGTTTGGGTAGGGTTAGAATAGATCTTTTTAAATTATGTTTGGATCGGGTCGAATTCGGGATTTATGGTGAAAAATATCCGATCCGACTTAATCTGACCTTAAAAAATTATAATTTTATTAATTTTACTTTATATATTTAGGGATAATTCCAATAATACACCTCTACGTGTTATTTTCTTTCAATAAATCCATATTTTTATTTAATAAAAATATGGATTTTTTAATAAATATATTATTTAAGATCGGGTTTAGATTTAATCTCAATTTTTGGGTGAGATCGGTTAGAAGGTATATATTTTTTTGATTGGATTTGGATTAGGTGGATAGAAATTATAATTCGACCCGACTCATAGTCATCCCTAATTGAGATGCAATCATAATTTTAATATATGAAATTGAGTGCATGAACTCCTCCCTGTTAAGATAACTATAAGAATACAATAATAGCATGCATCATTAATGAGATTTTGTTTTCATTCGTCCTCGTGTAATCCTTTGCAACAACAAATCTGCATCCTCGTTGGAAGGATAAAGATGTTAAATTATTTATTTTATTGGTATAAAATTGAATTTTGAGAAATATATTCAAAGAAAAAGATAGCATTTCCACTCTTATCGTATTTTCGCATCAATTTAGGTATCAAAGTTGTTTAATTACATCATTCTATATGTAATATCCCAAATTTTGAAAAGTGACCAAAATGTAAATTTTAAAAGTTTGATGGTTGAAGTATGAACTTGGAAAAGTTTAAGGATCAAAGTGGAAATTTTCCCAAAAATAATTTTTATTTTATAAATTAATAGATTATTCTTAAAGATGGAGTTTTTATAACATTCAGATTTTGATATGGGATGAGTAGAAAAAAGTTATAAAACGATAAATTTTGGCATAGGAATTGAATAATCGAATCGAGTAAGAATTTCACGAAAATTTTAAGGATGTTAGGAAATGATTGGAAATATTATTTTCATACTTTAGATTAGATAAATTTAGCTCAGATCAGCATAATGTTTTAGATTTGTGTCAAACTGTGGAATTTTAGTGACTAAAATGTAAATTTTGAAAATTACATGATGAAAATAAATATCAAAGTCAAGTTAATTCATCTTTGACTAAAGAATATTTTAATGGAAGATAATGCAACGAAATTTGGTAATTTTCAAGTTTCATTAATGATATTTTTGGAAATTTTCATTAATTGAATTTTAAACATTAAATTATATTATAAAATGTCAAGTGTACAAGTTATTAAATACTAGAATAATGAAAAATCAACATTTTTCAACTTGTTATTATCTCTTGGCCTAAATCTACATGGTTCCAATGTAAGAAATTTCATTTTGATTTTTAAAGCTACATGATTAGTTTTTGGATTAAGCTATTAGATAGAGAATTAATCCATTCAATTTTCTTAGTGAATTTAATACGATTAATATTTTTGGTCACTCAACCGTTAAATATTTAACAGCGTTAAAACGACGTTATTTAAAAAAATCACCAAAATGATGTTGTTTTACATTTATTTAACAACTCGTTTATAATGTCGTTTAGTGAGAAAATGGTTAAGTGAACAAAAATGCTAATTGTGTTAAACTCAATGAGAAAATTGAACATATTTAAAGTACAATAAGTAAAACAAGAGAGAGTAAAGTTTAATTTACCCTACAACAAGGTTGACTGATCAATTTATAAATAATTATTAAAATTTTAAATATTATAAAATTATTATTGATTTTATTAATTTTTAATTTAAAAAAAACAACTAATTATTAGATGATCACTTATAAATAAATTGAACTTTAACCTAAGAATGGCAGGATGCCACATACACGGCTCTGGTGTTCCCATTTGAGGCGCGCGATCGTTTCACACGTGTTATTTGGATACGGCTTTGCCTTTTATGGGACCCGACTTTTTTCTTTTAATGGGAAGGAGCACCGCCGAGATTTCCACGTTGCTGATCCAACGGTTGATATTTTTCTTGTAGATGATCACATCAGGAAGAAACGCGCCCTTGATTGTGCCGTGAGTTTGGCTTTTTGGGCCAAAACAAAACTTCAGTCACGTTATAAGATTTGAGATTATTTAAATTGGACCGTTCATGTTGATTTTTTTTCCTTGTAAAACTTAGATATTAGTTACCTACGGTTGTATTTTCTCTTTATTTTTTTAGTTTTATTATGAATAATTATATATTTTTAATATATTTATCTATACGTTTGTGACACATTTATCTTTTGACAGTTTTCAGTTTATTAACCGTTGTTTTCGTTTATCTTTTTTTAGGGTTGGATTTGATATCGTCGCAGTTGATCAAGATGTCGCTTATTTGTTATCATGTTGATCTTCCTTAATTTAGACTCTCAGATTGATTTAGATACGTGTTTTGCGTTCATGTATAGTTTTCTCACGTCGCTTAACTCCGATTTACGATTTTTCGATGATCTTTCAATAGTTTCATCTTATTTTGTGGTTCATTTGCCGATGCAGTTAGATTTGTTTGTATATTTATTTTGTTCGAGTATTTTGATTAGTTTTTTTAACATTTTCCTTCTCTGGTCTTGTGTAATCTATGTAGTTAATTTCTATGTCAATAGTTATAAAAAATGTACTAATTATAATTTAATTTACGTTTACCGTTATACTTATAAATTTTTATTATAATTCTAGATATTTTATATATTTTTTAGTTTCACGTTCCTTTTGTTTTCATGATCATTAACCTTGGCCCCATTAACACGACTTATTCAAACCAAGAGCATGTATGAGTGGTGCACATGGCATGGCCAAAATCAAAGCGAATTTAGGGTTTTGGCATGTTTCTTAGAGGGGGTAAGGAAAGAGAAAATATTCAGAATTCATTTACTTCTGCGGGACGAAATCTTGTTGATGGTGTAGGAATATCACCTACTATTTCTTCTCCTGTATCCTTCTTACCGTCAGTCTACACGTGAAATATAAGGATGTACACATGATTTTATGTTAGAAAAATTTAAACTCATAAAATTTTAAGGGTGAAAACATATTTTAAATAGAAAATACATAAAAAAAATATAAAATATATAATAATTTTAGAGAACGACCGTCTTGCCGGTCCATCCCTGTTCGCACCAGAGATTAAGACAAAGCAGTGGGAGATGTATTAGCTTTTGACTGTCACCAAATAAAACAACAAGGGCAAAGCTTAATTGATAAGGGCCACCAATGTTGATTACAACATCCTACCATCTCACTGTTATTGATAAGAACCAAAGCGTATTCGATGGTCCCGTTTTAGTGCCAACCCCCATATACTCTTCTTTCTATTTGGTTGGTTGGTGCCGACACATTAACACATCTAAACTGGAAATTTTGACTCGCCGTGCTAACCATGATGACAGCCAATGTAAAATCCCTCCCAACCGTAGCCCAAGCCGCCTTGAAGAAATGAGGGGTGTACCCCGAGAAGTTATTATCCCTCTACTTAAAAATGGCCTCCTTAACCTCCTCGTCCGACACCGGTCTGGTTAACGCAACACTTGCTTCCTCAGGAAAAAAGTATTGAAACATATTCTAACAAGATCCACACTGCAACCACATTGACATCTGTTGTACCAATTAAATTGAAAAAATAAGTCACAGCCTCCGAAGGCATCTCGTCAAAGATCTTCAAACGTTCACCCCTATCATTCATAATGACTGTTTTATTACATCTTCTACCTTCAATCCCATTACGTAAACTTTCCCATTGAAAGAGAAAATCCAAGGGCATGGAGATCTCATCCCGCTGCAAGGATTTATGCAACAACGCAGGGAACTCGATCAGTTTTGCTTCATCGAGTTGAATCAGATCCCTTGGGGGGGAAATGTCTTTGGGTTTTCTCAATGTGTGGGGATCCAAAAAATTTTTTAATGGAATTGAAGGTAGAAGGTGAAATAAAATAGGAAATTAAATCCTTTTTAGAATATTACATGAGTTTTGTCATTGAAAACAAAAATGACACGTGTAAAGAAAATATTGGTGGGGCATAAGCAGGAACACAAAGAGGGGCAGAGGATTTATATTCAAATTTTAAATTATTAAAATAAAATAGATAATTTAAACATATACAAATTATTTAATTAGATAATTTTAAATTTTCAATGCTACATCAAGAATGATCTCTATCTTTTTATCCTAGTAGGTGATGACGTATCACCACCTAATCGGTTGAATAAAATTAATTGTCATGTCATATAAGAATTACTGTTAATAGTTTTTAAAACAATAAAGTTTAGATACTAAAACAAAACAAAAATGATAGTTTAAGTACAAAATGTGTAATTTATCTTTTTAATATCGACTTAATATAGACAACTTAGTTAGTGGTATATTTCGATGCGTCGCTTTATGTTGTATTTCGACGTGCGTTGTAGAATTTTATTTCTTTTTAAGTATTTAAAAGTCTGACAGCCCTATTTCATAATTTTTTGGGCTGCCGTATTGGGCCTAAAACCCATGTGTTTCACTCCATACTATCTGCTGTGATATGGCCTGCTGGACCCATACTAGGTACCGGCCCACTAACACTTCCCATATTCTCCAAACCCACGTAGCCCAATTGTTTGATGATTAACCCACCATCCACCTTTCCCCGCACGTGCCCTGCTGTTGCAACTCCCTCCTTTCCCGATTCAATTCCGAAATCCC